TTCAGAAAATGTAAATACTCAAGAACCTCCTAATAATCATGGTAAACAGAACACCTAAGATCTTAAGAACAGTCAGTTATCTGATACAAAACTAGTAAGGACAATTTTACTGTAGAACACACACACACACACCAACAGAGAGGCATATAAGTATCTGTCAGGTTGCAAAAACATAGCTATGGTTTTAGCTAAAATTTCTTCTTAAATTATGAAATTAATCAACTGGATTTTAAAAAATTACTGTGTATAGTATTGGAAACACAATTTACTGCTAACTCCTGTAACTAGTAATTAGTTACCTATGTGCTTTGTACAATTCAGCTTGTGGAGCTGAAAACTCTAAAAATAATATTAAAGTTTTCGACTGAAATATTTTAGAATGGTTATGCCAATTTTGACTAATCACCTGACATGAGGGCCCAGCTTTTAACCAACAAAAACTCACTAAATGACTATAAAAGACTGAGGTTCAGCTGTAATCAAGGAGTCAAAACTACACAAAGAACAAAACTAAATCATGTTAAGAAGTAAAATAAACTTCTCAGTGCATTTGCAACGTGAGCAATGCAAACTGTTGACAGTTCCATAAAGGAAGCTTATCTTACAATTAAGATCAAACTAGGTTAAAAATGCCACACAGCCAAGCATAATCTTTATCCTGAGAAGTCTGAAGCTATCGACTAGCATTAAGATAAATCTTAATATTAAATATTTCGCACTCTAATCCTAACCTGCAAGTGCCATGGTTGAAAGAATCTGAAGATAACAGAGAAATCAGACTTCGGTTACTTGGGCTAAAAACATTATAGCAGAGGATGTGGAACTATGAAGTCCTGCTGCCTTAACAAACTCAAGGGAAGCTTCACCTGGCACTGCCATTCACACACCTCTTCCCCTCTGGCTAATTACACTAAGTGTTGTCACGGGAGCCAGACCACAGGAAAATGGCCAGCAGAGCCTGCACAAGAAGTGCTGGGACCTCACAATGCTCTCTGGGGAGGGTAGGACCTCATATTGTCTGTGCCAGTTCCAAAGATGTCCCTAGAGAGGGAAGGGACAACAACTTGGTTCTCCCTAAACAGGGAAGCCTCACCACCAGGGCCAGCATTCCCCATAATGGAGTGCTACTGTTGGCCATACGCAGCAGTGATGAGAGCCGAGGAAAAGGAAGTCCTCCTCTGTCACATGCAAGCTGCTGCTGTTCCTCAGGGCCAACAGAGCTTCCCGTGAAGACAGACACCAACCCCTGACAACCACTCAGTTGCAATTCTAATTTGTTGAAGCTTATTAAAACAGTTGCACCAAGAGCCACAACAAAAAGACAGCACAAAAGAGACATGTAGAAATATGATAGAACAGACTGTCAAAATATAAATCCACCAAACTGAAACAGCCTTACTCTCAATACGGGTCTCAAAAAATATGCACTAGATAAAAAGGGAAACCTTTCACCAAACACTGCTTGGATGGATATATTCAGAAGAATAAAACTAGATTCTTGTTTCTCGTTCTGTACATGAATCAATTCACAATACAGATAAAACTTGAAAGCTTTGAAAGTGCTAGAGGAAAGCACAGGAAAACACCTCGAAATATTGTCAAGGGTATTTCTGTGTTAGGACTTTAATAGTTTAGGAAGTAAGAGAAAGAACTGCCAAAAGGGATTCCATCAGATCTGAAAGCTTCTGAATAGCTTAGGCAAACAATCAGGACATCGAAGAGACAGCCAACAGAATGGGGGTAATGCAGGGATGGGGAGACCCAGCTCTTTACATGATACAGGGAATAAGGAACCCCCTTCCCAACAGCCTTCAATTATTCAATCAATAAATGGGCAATGGATAGAAATTCTCAAAAGAAGCAGAAATAGCCAGGAAATATATGAAAACATATTCAAGCCAGGTGGTGATGATACACACCTTTAATCCCAGCACTCTGTGGAGGCAGAGGGAGGTGGATACCTGTGAGTTCAAGCCTGATCGACAGAGTGAGTTACAGAACAGCCAAAAGTACACAGAGAAACCTGCCTCAAACAAACAAAGGGAAGAAAGGAAGGAGGGAGGGAGGGAGGGAGAAAAGCAGGCAGGCAGGCATACTCAAGATGCTAAGCTACTGGGGAAATGCAAATAAATACTATACTAAGATTTCATTTCATAAAGATTATCAAGAAAACGATGTCAACAGATCTTTTCATCTTCAATTTCTTTCTCCAAATACTTGAAGTCCTTGACATACAAGTGTTTCACTAGCTTGGTTATTCCAAAATAGTTTTTTTTCTAGCAGTTATTAGTGATTATGTGTTATCTGTTATTTATGACCATTTTTCATTTTGTTTTAAATTGAGCTATATATTTTCCCCCTTCCCTTCTACCCTCTCCCATGGTTCCCATGCTCCCAATTCACTCAGGAGATCTTGTCTTTTTCTACTTCCCATGTACAGTAGATCCACGTATGTCTCTCTTAGGGTCCTCACTATTGTCTAGGTTCCCCGGGATTGTGAACTGTAGGCTGGTTTTTCTTGTCTTTTTTTATGAGTGAGTACATATAATATTTGTCCTTCTGGGATTGGGTTACCCCAATAAATATGTTTTCTAAATCCATCCATTTGCCTGCAATTTTCAAGATGTTATTTTTTTTCAGCTGTGTAGTACTCCATTGTGTAAACGTACCACATTTTCCTTATCCATTCTTTGGTTGAGGGGCATTTAGGTTGTTTCCAGGTCCTGGCTATGACAGACAATGCTGCTATGAACATAGTTGAGCACATGTCCTTGTGGCACAATTGAGTATTCTTTAGATATATATCCAAAAGTGGTATTGCTGGGTCTTGAGGAAGGTTGTTTCCTAATTTTCTGAGAAATCACTCCTTTATATCTCTTTGCTTCACTCATTCTTTGTATTGTTCTCTTTGCTTCTATTTTACTGATTTCAGGTGAGTTTCAGTATTTCCTGTCATCTACTCTATTGGATGCTTGCTTCTTTTTGTTCTAGAGCTCTCAAGTGTGCTGTTAAGTTGCTAGTATGAGATCTCAGAGACTGAAGCAGCAAGCATGGGGCCTGCATGAGTCTGCACCAGTTCCCTGTGTGTATGTTGTGGCTGTTAGCTTGGTGTTTTTGTGGAACTCCTCACAATGGAAGTGGGTGTGTCTTTGACTCTTCTGCCTACTCCTGGGACTCTTTCCCTCTTGTTAGGTAGCCTTGTACAGCTTTGGTTTGAAGGCTTTTGCATTGTCTTATTGCATCTTGTTTTGTCATATTTGGTTGTTTTCTATTGGTGGCCCGCTCTTTTCTGAAGAGAGACAGAGGGGGACTGGATCAGGAAGGGGAATGTGGGGGGAGCTGGGAAGAGTGGAGCAAATGTAAACTGTGGTTGATGTATTGTATGAGAGCAGAGTCTATTTTCAATTTAAAAAAGAAAGGAAAAGAAAGTAGAGTTTTACTTGCTCATAAAGAAGAAATTATGTTACCTGCAGGCAAACAGATGGAAGTAGAGGTTATCACAAAACAAGCCATGTAAGAAAGACAGATGCTGCATGTCTTTTTTTCACGTGCAGGTCTAGATTTGAACACAAGAGGTGTGAAAACAGAAGGGAGGAGTGACTTGGAGTGAGACAGGCAGTCAGCAGGAGAGATGAGATGATGTCGAGAGAGTAACTGGGGAGCAGGGAATACGGCGCAAGTCCAGGATACATATGTATAAAACACCATGCCCAGGATACACGTATGAAAACACCATATCCAGGATACAAATGTATGAAAACATCATGCCCGGGATATACCTGTATGAAAACACCACATCCGGGACACTCATGTATGAAAACACCACATCCAGGATACTAATATATGAAAACACCACATCCAGGATACACATCTATGAAAAAAAATCATGTCCAGGACACACATGTATAAAAACACCATGTCCAGGATACACATGTATCCACAGAGAAGCTTGTTATTTTGTACAATGATTCATGCTAATAGAAAAAGAGAGGGAAAGATTGCTGTTTGAAAAATTAAAACATCATGTTCATATAAAAAGGCATTTAATGATTCTCTGTTGGGCATTACTAAGTATAAATAGTGCACAATAAAAACTAAGGTGTTTCACCAGCAAATAAGCTCATCTATATCTAATAAGAACAGCGTGTTATAAAAAGAACAATCACAAGGAGAATGAAGATCGGGACAAGCTCCTTAGCCAACAACCACTGGAGGACCTGCATCTAAGGACCCAAGAGGAACTGAAGGTTAATATCAGCATGGCCACTCCCACAGAAACAGGAGCCCATGTAGTCCATAGCAGTTTAAAAAAAAAACAAACAACTATTTGTTTAGTCAGAAAAATTATTCGATGGCTCAGATCATGGCACATGAACATACACACACAGAGAAATTTGAAATATTTATTTGGTTAAGAAAGCAACAGCTGTTTTTAAAAGATCTACAGTGACAGGAGCTGCTTTCAGCTACCCCATGAACTTCCCACTGGTACCCCTCCAGCCATCCTGTGCCCCCCCCAGCCATCCTGTGTATTGTTTTTGTCCTCCCTGCATTACTGCAGTAATCTTATTCCTGCACGCTTTCCTTCTACACTTTCATCATCAACAATTAGATATTTCACAGGACTAAATATCTTTAATTTTTTGCCAACACTCCCAAGATCACAGAATAAAACTGTCAGTCCTAATATCTATGTGGAAAGGGTGTGTTGTAGGAGACATTCTGCATCTTCAAGTCACCCATAATCAAAAGGTATAATTAATGATTCTCTGGAGACAAAGAATAAGCTACTGAGAATTCATGAGGGAAAGTACACTGAATTCCACTATAAAACATAATTTAAACCATTAAGTAAAAATAACAAATGTTCTATCTTTGGTAAGAACAGGAAAAAAATGAATATAAAGAAAACCTGTTTAAATACATCTTGGCTGAGAAGCCTGTCTATATCTAGCACCCTAGATAGTATTTGGAGAAACTGGGAACGCTTGTAGACTTACCTGCTGGAGGCAGGCAGTCTTTCCAGTCAAAATAGCCTGCATATATCCCGGGTTCCAGGGATCCAACAATAGGATCTGCTTTTAGCTCAATGTAATTTTCAAAGAGTCGTTGGTCTAGTTCTTTCAGTGATGCCATGCTAACCTACAACACAAGAGAAAGAGTATAAGATGCCAATTGAGGAGCTAAGGAAAAATAATGCAAGTAAATATCCAATATATTTTAAAAAGAACTTTTCTATAAAGTTCAGGTTTCTAGCTTATCTACCTCAGTAATAAGGAAAACTATTAGCATGGCTATTTTACACAGTAAGAAATAGTTTCCAACTACAGAGTATAGATTATGTTTTGGAATACTTTAAACATTCACTCTGTAGGCAGAGCAAACTGGCAGCATAAATACAGCCACTAACCTACAATACAAAGGGTACCAACTGCGGTGCTCCATATCGGCGGTGTCACTGGAAGGCATTCTGTTCTAATAACCTGCCTGAGTGTCGTGGGAATTCAGACTTAGCCATATGGATATGGTCTTCTCTGGGTACGTGACCAGGTAGAAACTGAAGGTGAGAGCTGGGCTCTGTGTCTGGGATGGTGAGGGAACTGGCAGGACTATGCTCCCCTGGCTTCCTCCAATCACAGGTCTGCATGACTGAGATGTGTCTCAGTGCTGAGAAGACTGAATTTATACTACTGTTATTCCACGGAGACACAAAGTACAGGTCTTGCTCCCTCATGGTTTAAACAATACAACAAAGATGCTATTAGAGAGTCCAGGTTTAAGTATTACAGAGGCCCAGATCTAGGCAACAGCTCAGCACAGGCCACCTGTAGCTCCTGCTGGCAGGAAGGGCAAAACAGAGAGGCTATCGCCAGCCTTACGGGAGTGGGCTTGGTTTCAATGGCACTCCAATGACTAAGATGTCACTTAACAGCAAAGGTGTGCTGGCCGGGGCGCTCTGTAGAGGAGTACAGCAATCTTCTTTCACGCTATTTCCCTGAGGGACACGCAGGCTTCTTGAACACTGGACCTGAACTTCAACAAACTGACAAGAAAGTGGAACGCACATCTAAGGAGTGTGTCTAATGGCAACCATGGTACCTACCTAGCAGTGCTGAGAGCAATAGCAGGGACGGAGCACGATGAACGTCCTTTAGAAGGCGGTACAGCAGATTAGAGAACATGATTGTATGGAGACAGGACATATAATTCTCAAAGAGACTAGAGTAAAAGGCAAGCTGTCCTTCAAAGCACAAAGTAACATATACAGAAATCTAAAATTGAAGTTAGAAACAGGGAAGATGGTTCCAGGTGGCTGTATAGCACAAACCCACAGAAATTCAAGGGGAGATAAATGGTCAACAAAAGAAGAGTCGACAATCCAACAAGCAAAAGAAGCTATTTTACTGGATTTTGAGCCGGAGTTTGAGGTATAGTAGATTGCTGAGTTCCAAGTTAGACTGATGACATAGTATGTATCTACGCACAAGCTATTAGAGTTCTCAGTTTTTAAGTGAATGCGAGGGGGTGAGACTCTTTTACGGTTTTAGAAGAAAGAAACAATACAGAGAATAAAGGATCAGTGTGAGTTCTGAAATGCCATTCTCCAACACGAGGGGTCACTGCAAGTATCTACAGCAGTAAAAGAACCCAACCTTGGAACCATGTCAATCCCTTAACCAAGCCCACAAGACATACATGTGGTCCTGAAAAGATACAGAGAACATATCCTATGCATTTGTGAGAAAAGCACTAAACTGAAGTCAAACAAATCAGTCTGCGAAAGAAGAACTGTTGAGGAAAACAGTGGTAGAAAACAAAATCCAGGTCCCTTCCCAAAGTCCTCCATGCCTAGTATCTGCAAACATAAACCTACTAGACTAGAAGCATCCTAGAAAAGTGAAATATGAGTTCTACGTAAGTATTCTTTTCAAAAAGTTTTTGTTTTATGTGTTTTACCTGCATGTATGTAAGTGCACCACTTGTATGACGTGCCTGTGGAGGCCCAGAAGACGACATCAGATCCCCTGGAGCTACAGATGGCTGTGAGCTGCCATGTGGGTGCTGGGAACCAAGCCAGTGTTCTCTGTAAGAACAGCAAGTGTTCTTTTCTGCATGCTATCTGTTCAGCTGCAACGATTCTTTAAAGTATTCTTAAAAGAGGGCACGGAATACAGTCCAGAGGTAGAGCCTTGCTTAGGATGTGCAAGGATTTGGTGATTGTTAGTAATGCCCCCCTCCAAGTCATCAACAAGAAATTCTTAAGCAAAAGGAGATTGACAAAGAAAATGCAGCATTATCTAAACCTATGTGGAGACTGGGCAGTAAGAAAATAAGTTTGAGTTACAGATATTTAAAGAAAGCACTTGAAAAGGAGAAAATCTTAGAATTAATGTTTTAACTTCTTCAAGCAGCTAATAAAATAGGAATTTAAAGTGTAAGGGAACCAATCCAGTTATTAAAGAAAACCATTAATGCCAAACATAGTATGTAGGTTTGTTGAAAAAAAAAATGTGGGATGTAGTTCAGTGGTAGAACATTTGCCTACTATTATGTACAAGATCCTGGGTTGAATATCTGGTACTGTAAAAAGACAAAACAAACAAACAAAAAAAAACCCCTAGGGGATGGGAGAGGAGGTGTGAAAGGAGAAAGGGGAGCAAGGGATGAGAGGAAAGGAAGAAAGAGGAAAGTTCCCAGCAAGGCCAATCTGCAAATGAAGATGAGGTTGGGAGGCCATTCAGTGGGTAAGGAGACTGCCAGGTATCCACTTAGAAAACTACTTGTGTAAAAAAGCCAGGCCACAAATAGACAGTTGTGGTGACTCCACACTGAGGAGGCAGAGACAGGCAGACACCTGAGATTACCAGCCAGGCAGCCTAGCCTGATCAGTGGGCAACAGCTCCTGGTAAAAGACGGCCTCAAAAAACCAACATGGAAATTCATAAGGAATGACATATGAGGTTGACCCCTGACCTCTACATGCAAGTGTATACAGACCATGCACACCTGCACACACACAAAGGAAGCTGCACACATGTGAACATACATGCACACACTCCTGTACACATACCTCTAAACAATGGAAAACAAATGGCTGAGAACAGAACACCTATACTGTCAGGCTAGAGAGAAGGTGTCACAGTTTCATTCCAGGAAGGCTGGTAGTGTTGGGAAAGCAGACAAACTCAAAAGTCAATCAAGGCTATTATTTAAAAAGCTTTGCACTTGCTACTTTTGTAGAGGACCAGAGTTCAATCCCCAGGACTTTCATTGGCTGGCTTACAACCACCTGTAATTTCAACCCCAGGAGAGCTAATGCCCTCTTCTGGCCTCTGTGGGCACCTAAACATACCTGGTACATGCATGCACGCACCCATGTGTGCGTGCAATACACACACACACACACACACACACACCTGGTACAGGACAATTGTCTGTATTCTGTCAATTATATTTTAAATAAACGCTGATAGGTGAGTAGTCAGGCAGGAAGTATATGCGGGACAACCAGACAGGAAGTAGAGGTGGGTCAATGAGAACAGGAGAATTCTGGGAAAAGGAAAACTCTCTCCGCAGTCCTGGCCCAGCCACAGAAGAAGCAAGATGTGATTGCCTCGCTGGAAAAGGTACTGAGCCATGTGACTAACACAGATAAGAAATATGGGTTAATATTCATTATAAGAGCTAATAGGAAGCTGAGCTAATGGGTCAATCAGTTTTATAACTAATGTAGACCTCTGTGTGATTTCTTTGGGACTTACCGATTGCAGGAACTGGGCAGGAAAGAAACCCCGTCAACACACATTAGTAAGATAAATCTTCAAAACTTAATTTGGAAGAGTCAGGCATGGTGGCACATGCCTTTAATCCCAGCACTCAGGAGGCAAAGGCAGGTGGATCTCTGTGAGTTGGAGGCCAGTCTGGTCTACAAAGTGAGTTCCAGGACAGCAAAGGCTGTTACACAAAGAAACCCTGTCTCAAAAAAATCAAAACTATAAACCAGTTTGTAACAAGAAACCAATTGATAATAAGAGGGGTAGCTACTAACAGAAAAAAGCAAACTGGATGAAGCAGGATGCAGGTTGAGACAGCCCAAGAGCTGGCCAGTAGATTGCTTTCCCTTGCAGTGGAGGGTCTCAGCAACTCACTAAACCTGGGTGATCAATACAGCTACACCTCAAAGGGCATGTTCATTCCCCATGACTGCTTATAACCCACCTCACCACCTGACACTTGAGGATTAGGCTTCCCTCCTGCGCTCCAGTCTCTCCCTCAGTGGCGTAATTACACACCGTCATTGACTGGTTTAGCCCTCGCCCCATCGGAAGGATGGAAGGAAGGATGCAATGAAGACCCGCATGCCAAGTATCTTCACCATTAGTGTTCAAATCATTCCACAGTAAGTTAGCTGTTTCTCCTTCCTTACTATCTCCAGAAAAGCCAGGTTTCTAGAGATGAGAATTAACGGAAATGTAATTCAAATGAACAGGACATTTCAGTGAAATCAGACACACGTGAAGATAGGATGAATGAGACAGCAGAAGAAATGCCCCTAATTAGTACTGAGAATTAATGATGAGGATCAAAAGCTGAAGTGCCGTGGAGAATGAAGTGAGGAAGTTTTGTGGTTGATGAGCTAATAAGAATGTACAGTTAAGTACCATCCATTGATGAAAAGGAAATATCATGAAATATGACGAAAAGGCCAGCAGTTCAGAGGGCAACAAGACTTTGTAAAGCTGACATTGGTTAAAGAAAAGCTATTCTATACAGACAGGGAAAGCCACAGGCAAATGTTCTTTCAACAGAGCACAGGAAGCTGGTGCTGAGTGAGTGGTTGAAAGAACAAATGAATGAGAAAGACGAATAGATCAAATGAGTTGAGTGACAGCCCTCTAAAGTTAGGGAGACGGATGAAAGCCCCACACCAACATCAGCTACGGCCATTCAGGTTTCATTCTTCAGGCAAGGAGATGTTCAAGAATACGGGATGGAGGAAGAACTGTGCAGCAGACTGGGTTCTGGATACCCTGTGAAAGATGAGCCGGATATCAGAAAGAAAACAAAAAGGTGAGAAAAAAAATACATCTGTAGAGCAGGTTCTTGAAACACTAGAGTCAGATGAGGAGAAAGGCCAGACTCCAGACAAGGAACAGCCGTTCCCGGGAGCAGAAGATGGTCCAGAAGAGCTGGGGCTTAGGGACAAGTGTGCATATTCCCTCCTCCTCTCCCTCCTTTCCTACCCTCTCTTCCTGTCTTTTCTTCTTCCCTCCCTTCCTTTCTTCTTTCCTCCCTCTCATTCTTTTCACAGTACTGTGGGTGGAACCACTAGGCAAGCAAGCCTACTCCACTGCTGAGCTACATCCGCAGCCCCCACTGTGGATTTACTCATGTATGCATCTTTTTGCCTTTCCCACAAAGAGAAGTAATGTGAGACAGCTAAAGAGCATCAAACATTTAGTTCAGTATTTGGTAAGGGGGAGCACATTTATTCAACTTACTTGTCTATAGAACCTTAAACTCTAAGATGAATTAATTACAAGTAATTTGTTGTACAAAATAGTTTCTTAACAAAACTTAATGTATTCTGATAAAGAAATGGGAAAGCTAACTCAAGCATAGACACAGATAATACAAATGGAAGGAAACAAAGTTGCATTCATTTCCATCAATACATTCAAATGAACACAAACTTAAACTATCTAACAAGTATACTCAATTAAACTGAAAATAATGAACTAATGTAAAAATAATGAACTAATAAACTATGTAATAATAGCACATATGGCTCAAAATATAAAAAATACTTTAAATTGGTGGCTGGATATAAAGGCTTTTCTCTGGATTTGTGACGAAAAGAAACTGTCCCCTTAACCCTCCTGAGTGGAGTTTCTGAAGTTAGAAGCATTTAATACCAGACTTGATCAATGTCTGCATTCTCAAGTCAGGGAGAATCTGTAATTATATAAATGCTAAATCATGTGTTTTTTCTAACACTGATTCAGATGCACAAAAAAAAAAGGTCCCCAGAATTACATCAGTATAGCAGCCACAATAAAATAACATGTTAAGGCTTATCAGCCATATAGCTCTCATGTTCTCACCAAATACTCCTGAGGAATTTGATCTGTGTTACATCTAGTCTCTGTCCTCAGAACAAAGCTCCCTGTCTCCCTTGGTCTCTAGATATTTCCCAGCTATCTCTTCTATCATATAGTTAATAAAAATGGAAAAGTACTCATTTCTAAAAAGAAAAGGCATGCAAATTAAAACACATTAATGGATATTTTTACAAATGAAAATTAAAAACTATGCTGGGAAATGATGGTTAAAACATAATGCAACTATCGTTCCCAAAGCATTCTGGCTATCACCAGGAATCTGCAATTTTGGGGTCCCAAGTGAAGTCAGTGAGGGGAGCTGATCGGGTGTGGGGTGGTGATGTGATATGGATCTGCTATGTGTATGGGGGTGACTGTTAGGAAAGGGTGGAGCTTTACTGTTGGGGGGCAACTGGACGAGTTGGAAGTAATCTGTCTTATTAACAACAATAAACACTTTGTTTAGGACATTAAAGAGGATTCTTAACTTTTATTTCTCCTTCTCAAAAATTTAGCTAGGCTTTGCACAAACAGAAAAAGAAGATGGGTGAGAAGGTGGAACTTTCTAGGCACAGAGCACTGGCTGTCTGTGAGCAAAAGGCAGAGGCCTGAGGGTTCCTCAAGGGCAGGCTGTAAGGTGGAACTTTACAGGGTAAGAGGACTTGTATATTCTTATCTAATGAACTGCCACTCAGTGACACTCAAGGTTAAATTGCCACACACTAATCAATTAACTTTGTGTCCTATTTTCATTTCCTTGGGGGTCTATAATGAGACCAATTCCATTCTCAGCCTTAGGATATAATATAGGGCTGGAAGCGCTCAGGACATGGAATCAAAGACTAATTTTCAAGTCCCAGCTACATTCAAGTGAAGTTCACACACGCTGCACTTCTGCTCCATGAAAATCACAGAACTAAAACACCATCCTTACTAATTTCTCAGAGATTCTACATTAAATAAAATTACATATTGAGGGGCTAGGGAGATGGCTAGGTTGGTTGGTATTCCGTGTATAATCATGAGGAACTATGCTTGAATCTCAGCTACAATGATGTGTACCTATAACCCAGGACTTGCTGGTCAACTAGCCTTGCCAAATTGGTGAGGTCTAGGTTCAAAGAGAGAGCCTGCCTCAAAAGATAAGGAAGAAAATAGAGGCAAACCCCTGATGTTGGCCTCTGGCCTACAAAGACAGCCCCCCCATGCACACATGAACACATACTTATGAAAAATGCCATAAAAATAAATACAATTGTACCTGTGAAGTCATCCCACCCATAAATGTAATTGATCATTAAATTTTAATAAAGTCCTAAAAAACATGACTATGTATATGCTATTTCTATATTAAATTAACTCTATTTTGAAGGTAAAAACAAAATGAAGGGCCAGAGAGATGACACAGTTGGTAAAGATGCTGGCTGCCAAGCCCAATGACCTGAATTCAATCCCTGGGATCCACACAGTGGAAGGAGAGAAACAGCTTCCACACGTTGTCCTTTGACCTCCACATGAATGCCAGGACATGTGCAACATAACACATTTTAGAAACAAGATAATTAAATCATTATTAATCAAGAAACAATATGAAAGGAATTTTAGAAATAGTTGTTTTCAGGCTTCTACTGGCAGAGCACCAATAAGGAAGAAATTGGGAAGGGAAAAGGAAAGGCAGCAGGAAAGGAGGAAGAGAGAGGAGCCAGGAGTGGTAGAGCCTCTTCCTGCCTCGCCAGCCAGCAGCACATCCCATAGGAGGAACGGAGAGAGAGAGAGAGAGAAAGAGAGAGAGAGAGATTTTCCAAAAGAGCATAAGCCGCTAGGGTAAACACAGAAACGGAAGAGACAGCTGTCCATCGTGACCTGCCCTATGATTTTCTTGGCAGGCATCTAGAGTTATGTCATTGGAAAGGGAACTGTGAAAAATAAGGGCTATGAGGGACCTTTCTTTCCTTCAGAGCAAGGGACTCTTACTCGTTTGACACCATGGAAATAGGAGCTTCGGCACACAGTATTGTAAGCAGGAGCGCTGTGGCCCAACCACTTTATTCATTTCAGCCACAACTGAATAATTTCAAGACATTCAAGAAATAATTTTTAAAAATGTAATGCTAAAGTGGATAAAAAGCCTATTGCTTATTCTAAGCTGTCCCCAGGTTCTCATATTATCTTTTTCTGTGATTTAGACAGACAGGAAAAGATACTGAAAACCTTCCTTTATGTCAGTTTCGCTCTGCTTCTTAATAGTATAAACAGAGGCAACATAATTTCTGCTTATTACTTCACAAAAACAGAGAATCAAACTCCGCTTCTAACCTATGCAACTCTTGATCACTTCTTACACTTTAATGATAAAGTTCTACATATTGAATAAAGATAGAGTGCCTACTTTCCACAGATCTTGCAATTATGAACATAAAAAATTTCTGGAAATAAACTAGACATTTGGTCTCAAAGCCTAAGTCACACCACTTATCAGCAGGATGATTAATCTTTACGAAAAGGCAGGAAAACAAGACAGAGCCACCCACTCTGACATTTTCATTCTTAAAAAAAAAAAACCCAAGCTAGTTTATGAACTGGAAGCATCATTTATAAAAAGTAGATCGTCCACTGAGAGTCAACACCGATGACATGATTAATAAGATGGTTATCTTTCTTGTTTTCTTCGCTGAGAAAAGTGTCCTGGCATTAGACAGTTGGCTCAGTTTTACCTAGAAATCTGATAAACTTTGCTCAGGAACTAGCAATCTTTATAACAAGGTATTTCATTTTTTCCTTTTCTGCTTATTTGAAAAACTATAAACAAGAGCGTGAACATTCTAAATCACGGAACCTGCTCCATTGATCTGCACACTTGCCTACATCCAGCAGGCGGAGCACAAGGCATATAAGACTTCTGGTTAAGCCAGGAAGGAAGAGGCCAGAGGCTAGGGAGCAGGATGTGTACAGGCGCCGGCTGAGCAGTGCGCAGAGGCAGGCCTTGACTCCCAGGGAGATAAAGAGGGGAGGGACAGGCTAGATTAGCAGGAAGAGGTCTCTGTGAAGTCAGGACCAGGGTTGATGTCAGCAGTACCTAAAGGCTTAACCCCAACAGGAGTCAAATGGAAAGACTCTCAAAGATTTAGGCTTGCTGTTTCTCTCTCCTAATTGTCTTACCTGATGTTTGAACAATGACAGGATTAAGCATACCACTTCAACCATGAGAAAGCTTTGCTTCAGAGAAAAGCAGTGTTACATTAACAATTCAAGGCAAGGAAGAAAACCATTCTTCTGATAGATGGGTCTGGTAAGAAGAATGGGTATGGGGGCCTGGGGAATTGGAATGGAGGGGAGCCTAGGAGGTGCTGAGAAAACAGCACTGGGCTTGACTACTGAATACCAAAGCACTTACCTGTGTTATTTTTTCTATTCCCTGGAAGTTGTGCTTTTCAAAATGTTCTGCTATGTTTAGGAAGGTGTGACGTTCTAAATAGCAGCAATTGCTCAGGACTATCAAAAGTCGCTGCTCCTAAAATTCAAACAAGTCATTAGCAGTTTACATTGACAGTGCTGGAGAATGCAGAAGATAACCCTGATCATACATTAAGTGTAGTGAGAGGCTTCTGCCCTTTAACATCAATACCCAATGCCCTAATTTTCTTGGCTGTTTATTTCCTAACATACAAAAAAACATAACCCAATTCCACTAATTGTTGATTATTCCATTTACACTGAAGAGCTGAACAGAGACTTGGGGTACAGCCCAGCAGTGAGTTGTTCTCCTGAATGGACAAGGCTCTGGGTTCTACATCCAATATCCCCCAAAGAGTCAAATGTTTTCTTTAATGTTTTATGTACACAAAAGGCGACCCAAACTGATATTAAGAATAACTACATAAAATATAAAAACTATTAGAAAATGATTTATGAATCTTTTACAACTTAAGAACACTTTAATATCATATTATCTATCTGAAGGGCTCCTTGTTCCTTCAAGAAGTTTCTGCCTGTGAGGGCCTGTGGGAATGTTTCCTATGTCCAGGAAGAACCTCCTTCTAATGGGGAGTGAGTGTCTCTGAGGACACTTCCTCTTTCCCCTCTCCAGAAAGACAAGGAACAGTGAAGCGAGCTTCTCGCTGTTATATTCTTCAAGGTTTTACCTACCTAAATAATCTAATACAAAATTATTAGACGGCAATTACAATGCTATGAATACAATGGGCTTTTTACAGTTCAGAAGAATTCTATCTGTAAAAGAAATTCTAGGAATGGCCCTGCTGTTGCTGTGGTTCACTTCAGGGTAGCCCCAATCTGTGTTCCTGCAGGTGTGAGGTATTCTCTGGAATGGTGACTCATCCAGGGTCTTCAGTTAAGATCCTTGACAAAAACTAAGGCAAAACCACTTTCCAGGAAGAGTTCTCACCCCCAGTCGGCTACTCTTTCTGTGTACAATCACAGTAACTTAGAGTTAAGTGCTCCAGGGGAGAAAATGCAGAAAAACATAGCTTCCTATTCTTTGAGGCATGTGGACCAAGGGATAAACCAGAGTCTCTAAAGTCAACAGCCAAGCAAATCTATCTTCTAGTACTTAAACATCTTCTCACTTCATTATTACAATTCCCTATCTATATTTCCAGCACAATGCTGCCTACATACCACCAGCTTTGGTCCTCAACAAACATAAATAAGAGATTACAGAACCATTAAAGTAACCCAGACAACCAAAGGTGGTGGCCCTGAATTAACTTTTAGTTGGAAAATGAAATATAAAAAGGCCAGATGACTCTCTCCTCCAGCTGAGCAAGACACCCAAGGGAAAGAAGGCCAAGGGGAAGAAGGTGGTCCCAGCCCCCGCTGTCATGAAGAAACAGGAGGTCTAAAAAGTGGTGAATCTTTTGTTTGAGAAAATGTCTAAGAACTTTGGCACTGGGCAGGGCATCCAGCCCAAAAGAGATCTCAAATGTTTTGTCAAATGGCCCCGCTACATTAGGCTGCAAAGGCAAAGGACCATCCTCTGTAAGCGGCTCAAAGTACCTCCTGCTATTAACCAGTTCACCCAGGCTCTGAACTGGCAAATCGTTACTTAGCTGTTAAGTGTGTCCACAGGTAGAGGCCACAGACAAAGCAGGAGAAGAAGCAAGGCTGATGGCCCATGCTGAGAAGAAAGCTATTGGCAAAAGGAATGTATCAACTCAGAGACCACCTGTCCTTCTAGCGGGGGTCAATACAGTCGCTACCTTGGTGGAGGAAAAGAAGGCTCAGCTGGTGGTGACTGCCCATTGATGTAGACCGCACTGAGCTACTAGTCTTCCTACCTGCCCTGTGTTGAAGATGGGGTTTCCCTACTGCATCCACAAGGGAAAAGCCAGGCTAAGTGGCTGGTACACAGGAAGATATGTACCATTGATGCCTTCACACAGGTTAATTCGGAAGACTAGGATGCTCTGGCTAAGCTGGTGGAAGCTATTAGGGCAAATTATAATGACAGATAAGATGAGATCCACCGCCACTGGGGAGGCAATGTCCTGGGTCCTAAATCTGTGGTTTGAATTGCCAAACTGGAAAAGGCCAAAGAACTCATGGCTAAACTGGGTTAAATGTACACTGCCAGTTTTCTATTCATAGATATAATTACAAACATATCTTCCACATGCAAAAAAAAAAAAAAGGCTAGAGGAGGCCATACTGCATATGACATTATTTTCCATAGTGAATACACAGCAGGAACACTTCTAGAAAGTAAGCAGTTTGGCCATGGTGGAGCCATGTCCCCTTTTGTCACCTCCTGTCATATCATGACACATTCCTTTACAGGGCACGAAATAAAGACTTTCCAGCAGCCACTGCCAACATGCTGAAGCCCGCAAATGTGCCAAATGGCTTCAAACCCACCCTTTACACTCTTTCATGCAGACGTGAATGTCTATTCTACTGGACTGAGCCTGGGGTCTTTCCTGTCCTGGTCCCAAGCTGGCTTGACTTGCTTTTTCCCGCTACAGCAGGTATGGAAGCTCTTCAAAGTGAAAAGAATTACTTCAGTGATCTAAAGACTAACTCTTAGCAAGTATATTTTGTTCATATATGTTATATGAAACATCACATGAAATGAAAGTGGAAAGAACAGGAGAATGACAACAACCTAGCTCTTTAGTCTGGATGGTTGAGCCGAAGCTTGCCGGCACCTGGTGTAGAGACAAACACTTGACCATAGCAGCTCGGCTGACCTGCGGTCATTACTTCTCTGTGCTCCCAGACAGCACCAAGAAGGGACACTCTTGTCCTCAAAGCCCCTGAGGTTGTGAATAAGAAGAATCTTCCCACTCTAAATCTAGATATCTTTCTTACCAAATCAGTTACCTTTCTGGTTGCCATAGCCCTGAGAGGATCTCAGTCCCTGAGATGAAGACTTAGATCTCATGAGACACCCTCCATTGGGAAGAACACCGAAACCAATTTTGGGAAGCAATGAGCGTACCTTGGGAAGTGAGTGGACAGGTAAGATGCTGTGAGGAGGGGAAGTAAGCACAAACCTAGGAGAGCTGAGAGTCTGATGGGCAGCTCTGCACCTCCTGGGAGAGGGGTCACATGGAACCACTCTGCTCTCCTCTCTATCCCTAAAGAGGGATGGGAGGCTCAGAGCAGTACTTCATATCAGGGGTGCATGCAAACCAGCTGGGAAACGGTTGATGGGTCACAGTGTTAGCTGGGAGTGAGGAATGGAACAAAGGGGGAAAGGTCACTAAGTATCCATTAGGCTCCCAAAAGAGGAAGAAAGCAAAAGAATAGCTGGGCCAGATGGTTGGTTGGGCCTTAGTTTCAAAGGCCTTTTCCTCCAGCCCATTCCTTCTACCCCACTTTCTTCCCAGACTCACAATTCACTTTATGGCTTCCCAGAGCTCTTGCACCTGTCCTAGCTGACTTTTCCCCAACACATGCGGGGTTATCTGGGAAGAAACCCTCAACAGAGCACTGAGTGAATGCCTCCATTAGATAGCCTGTAGGAATTTGGTTTGGCTTTGGCATGTAACCTGTGTTCAAACAAAACAGGGGAGTTGTAGAAATAAAGGAGCGAAAGTGGAGTTTGTTAGGCTGAAGGGGCAAACGACACAATGGAAATGCCTTGCCTCGCCCCTCCCAGGCCATCCAGGCAACTCCGCAGCACCAGGGAACAACCAGGGCACCTTTAACACTCAAGAGGCAGCGGACGTGCTGGGTCTTTTCATGTTTTACTCCAGGGAAAGATCTTTTTTCGTGTGATACGCACACACAAATATTTACACAACATAATGTAGTCCCAGAGCAAAGCGCAGTGTCTACAGAGTCCATCTTTCATGACTCAGGCTGATTACCACAGCCACAACCTTTAACGTGACACACTTTAGTTTCTGTGTTTGGCATTTTACTTACTGAAGTCAAACTGAAGTCTTCATGGATGCTCCCAAACAGATCAGGAGACGAAACATCCACAGAAAGACTAAATGCAGAAGAGGCAAGAGAACAGTCACAACTAAAACTGACTTAAAACTACATTGACTTCAAATGTTTTGATAAAAACAGCTGTACAACCTTCTGTATGTTTTCCTTATATTTAACATATATAAGGAAATGCTATGGACTTATTTCTTATCCTGAGCTACATAAAACTTCTATGGGAACATTCTCAATACTCAAGTGACTGTATTAAATTAAAAAACAAATTACCAAATGGTCAAATGTCAAATAATAGTCATACAATTAAAATGTTTTTGAATATCAGAATTTCCAGGGGAAAGTTCGAAACTCATTTTCACAGTGACCTACTTACAGGTGAGCTAAGAAATTAGTTGATAACTCATAAGCAATCAAAAACATTAAAAGGTGAAAAACAAGAGCAGGGTAACCCACTAATTTATTTACTGATTTAACAGAATCAGAAGAAATACCTTAGCAAATTTTTTTTCTTTAAACTTGACTGACTTGAATTCATATGGAAGACTAATATGATGAATATCAAATAATACTTCAAAACAGCAATAATAAAAACACTTGGGAGGCAGAGGCAGGTGGATCTGAATTAGAGGCCAGCCTGGTATATAGAGCGAGTTCCAGGACAGCCAGGGAGTTCCAAGACAGCCAGGGCTACATAGAGAAACCTTGTCTCAAAAAAAACCAACCAAACAAAACATCAACAATAACAACAAAAAAAATAAAAATCTGAAAACGAGTTGAAATATAAAGAAATGCTAATTAAAACAGCATAACTAACATAGAGTTACATATGACCAGAGCAGAAGATAAAGTTAGGAAATGCCGCACTACCCGTTAGAATCCAGCAATAAAGGAATGAGAAATTCTAGCAAAGTAGAAAAAAAGACTGACTTCACCAGATCACAGATCTGGCTGTGATTAGTGATGCAATGTTCTGGAGGCATAATGAGCCAAATACATAGATCATATCAAAAAAGACCGACAAGAATTAAAAATGTGGGGCTGAGGAGATAGCCGTTGGTATAGTGCTTGCAACCCAATGTGAGCAGCAGAGTTCAGCTCTCTAGAACCCGTGTAAATACCAGGTGAGTATGACAGCTCACCTGTGCTCTCAGTAGTTGTGAGGTGGAAATGGGCTAGCTAGACCGCTGAGTCAATGAGCTCTGGGCAAATGAATGACCCAGCCTATATATGGCAGGGACATATCTGAGAAAAACATTCATCAGCTACTTCTGATCTCAAAGTATGCCTTCCCTGACCCATCACACACACAGATACACACACACACATACGTACATGCATACACATGCAAGTAAACACACTGGGAATGTGCATATACACACAGATTTTTCAAAAAAGTATTTGTTCCCTAGAGACAATAGTTTTATATACCAATGAATAAAATTTAATGCTAAGAATGGTGGTTTCAATAAGGATGTCCCCCATAAAGTCTTGTTTTTCAATGCTCATAGGGAGTGGCACTATTAGGAGGTGTAGCCTTGTTGGAATAGGTGTATAAGAGCAGGCTTTGTAAGCTATATGCTCAGGCTAAGCCCAGTACACAGTCTCTCCTTTTGCTGCATTTGGATCAAGATGTAAAACTCTCAGCTCCTTCTGCAGCACCACGTCTGCCTGCCCACCACCATTGCAAAACATAATGGCAATGGACTGAAGCTCTGAAACTGTAAGCCACCCCGATTAAATGCTTTCCTTCATAAGAGCTGCCATGGTCATGGTGTCTTTCCTAGAAATAGAAACCCGAACTAAGACACAAGTAAATAGAAAAATTCTCAAATTGCCAATTAGGTTCTGTAAGCACTTATTTTGATATTATCTGTGTTAAAGCATGAACCTTAGAGGCATAGAAGTTTCATGTGCCAAGTGTCATCCAAAAAGACCGCACACAGGAGTTTCACATGCTAAGTATCAACCGGAAAACTGCACATTAGGAAAACAAGGACAACAGCATTATGTGCTGCTCCATGTAACAGAGCGGGAGAGAACAGGTGTCTGTCAAGAGTCAGGCAGGGCATGGTCTGAGGCCAGGGCCACAGAGACTGAGGGCAACCCAAGCATATAATAAGTTCACGCCAACCTAGATTTCACGTTGAGACCCTACCTCAGTATGGAACGTATTTCTCACATTTTATTACTCTCAAATGCATCGATGAGATTAATCACATTTTTACTTACTGAGTAGTATCTATGTCTGCATCAGGCTTGGTGCTCAACTGTTCCAGACAGTATATAAAAACCTGGATTAAAAATAGCAAGTTTCAGTGATATGAGTTTTCAGGTATCAATATATTTGAATATTAAAAAAAGTTTATATAAATTAAAGCAGACTTGTTTGGACAATAAAATATAAGGTAGGGGAGAGATGTGTCTAGTAATATATATGTGTAAGGGTATGTGTGTGTCTGTGTACATGTGAACTAAGTAGTAGAAATATATATACCCCATCAATGCCTAACTACAAAAGTGACAGAATATCATAAGCACTTTGAATCAACGTTTATGTAGTCAGTTATGTTCTTGAATACATTTTAGAAGAAAGACCCTTTTCCTTTTCCTTAGTCATTCACAAACATGCTCAACTTCATTTATGTACCTATAAAGCACTGGTCCCAATCAAATAGCATTACAACTCTAGATGAATTATAAGCAACCAATATCCATTCAATTTATTGTGCTGTCTAAAGGATATAAATACAAAGTACCATGAAAGCAGACAGAATACAATAGAATGAAATATACAGGCATTGCTAAAACAAACAAGAACTAATCCTACATATTGAACTTTATCTGTATAGCCAACTTATTTGAGACGCTTTGGCACACAGATGAGATTTTAAAAGATCTCTTATTTAATAGTGATATGAACATTATCAATGGTGAATGACAGATGAGTGCATGGATTCAGAGTTTCTACCACTGCGCTTAGTTACCTGCATGATATTGATGCTTAGCTGGCAAACCTCCTCCTGTGTTTTAGGCTGTTGAAAGACCTATGAAGGATTTAGATAAAAAAAAAAAAGTTTTGATTTTGCTAAGCAAACAAAACGTTTTGCTTGAAATACTAGATGTAAAAGCTAAAACATGGAACACCACTCTGAGTGTCAGCACCCTCACTCGGAAGGGCTAGCCTTAGACAGCTTCCTACCAGTGATGGTTCTGATCCCCAGTTGGCTGAGGATACCCAAGTCAGACTTTCAATCAGTCCACAAGAACTTTGTTCTACTTGAAGATGCTGGACCACATTTTATCTGCTCAGCCTGCCCTGGATCCTGAACTCAACACATGGAAGTAGGTAACTAAATGAAGGCATTTAGAAGACAGAACAGCTCTTGGATGTCAATGACTACTGTTAATTGTAGTTCTCAGGTAAGGAATTTCTTTTCTTCTTGTTTTTACATCCCAACTGTCAGTACCCAGGTTTTTTTCCCCTTTGCTCAAGGTGCTATGCAGGGAGAGGGGGGAGGATATTTTTCCTCTGACTTCCTGGTTTCTCGGCTTGCTGAGGGTTTAGCTTAGAGAGAACTGGGCCCTCTTTTGTTATGGTAATTCCACCTGCAAGCAAGGTTCCACAGCAGCTGCTCTCTGACCTTGGGCACAGTTGCCTGACTTCTTCTTTCCCTGTTCCGGATGGGAGGGGGCTGTTGTCCTTCTGCCCCATAGTATTTTTGCCCGACTTGTGCTTAATAAAGTTGCCATTTACTTCTTTGGTGAATGAGTCTGGTCTCTCTGTATGTCTGTTCAACCCTTAGGATATTTATCCATTCTCGTGGACTTGATTCGGGAGGCGCGCGCCTGAATCGGGTGTGGGGATTCACAGAAAAGTGCAGGCAACACTCAACTACAGTTTCTCCTCCCTCCTCTCCTCCCAGTCCTTCCATACCACGTAGGGATTTCTTAAAACTGGCTAAGGCACGTGGAAGAGGGCCGAAACTCACGCTGGCTTCTCCAGGCTTGCAGTCGACAACACCCTTCAATGACTGCAGGGAGTGCACGATGCTCTGTTCAAACTGATATGGCTGAAAGAAAGAAAACCTCCTATTTATGGAGCTGAAAGCAATCGAAAGCTCAAGTCTCTGGAGTTACAGAAAAGAACAAAATCTGACCAGAAGTCTAAATGTAGTGAGGTTAAGACTGGCATGTTTCAAAAGAGTTAAATTTTGAGACTAAGGCTTTTCTAATTCATGTAGAACTGAGTAAATTTTTTAAATCAAAATTCTCTTTTCATAGGAAACTGACAAGAAACAAATGTAGGGCATTCATACCTGAGGACTACGCTGCATGCATATTATGTATGAGCTCAATTTTCTAGGTGGGCCACCTCTTACACTGCTCAGCCAAACCTAAGGTTATAATAACCATCTGGAGGATGGACAAGATCCGTAAAGCTGAGTAAATCACTGGACTTATTTTCTATGTACACTAAGTCAAAAACAGAAACTTGCAGCTTGCCTTTAATCCCAGCGTTCAAGAGGCAGAGGTAGGCAGGTCTGAGTTTGAGGCCAGCCTGATCTACAAAGTTAAGTTCTAGGAGAGCCAGGGTCACATAGAGAAAGAAACACTGTCTTGAAAAAAAAGAAGAAGAAAAGAAAAAAAGAAAAACAAACCGAAAAGAAAAGAGAAGAAAAAAATGAATGGATAGAAAAGAAAAGAAGTGGAAATAGATTTTAAGATCCTAGTGCCTGTGTTCCGTGTTCACTTGAAGTTCACATGAGCAGATCTGATAGAATTCTCACTACATGCTTTTCCAAGTTGAGAGGCATCCAGCATGACAGTCACAGGTTTTTTGTTGTTGCTGTTTTGCTTTTTATAGACATGAAACTGTAACTTAATAAGAAGCATCATGGAGAAAATACTGGAGCTCATAAAGAATGCTGCGTGAGGGCCTTCTCTCTAAATAGGATGGTCAAAGTCCCTGAGAACCGGGAAAAAGAGGTATGAGGATATCATGACACAGGAGAGGACATCATGACACAGGACTGAGGCCTCAGTAAGACAGTGAGGTGCCAGCACTGAACACGAGTGCAGAGAGGGATTAGGACCTAAGATTTGCAAGGGCTCTGAACAAGGCCAAGACTAACACTGAACTAACACTCTGGGCAGGACATCTTCAGGAAGAACCAGAGCCACCAGTTTTTAGAAGGAGTTTGGGGAAAAGCAGAAGAAAAATCCATACACATCAAAACCAAAACAAAACCAGTTTACTTTTCTAAAATAGGGCCTTGGTCACTGTATTGACGCACACTGAAACCACGAGGAGCACCATGAAGAGTAGTTAAAAGTACAAGTGGGAAAAGGAAGAAAAGGCTGAACCGTAAATGCACAAAAAGCATTTGGAGTCACACTGTTCACTATAGCTGAGCATGTGGGAAGCCTGGGGTTTGAGCTGAAAGATTGCAAAACAAAGAGAGAACAAATTGTCAGATGGTGGCCTGCTTATTTAACCTACCTTCCACAGTAGGCACAGCTACCTAAGATGATTAAACAAAAAAAGCAAGCACAATGTTGAGAATAAAAACTGAATGTCATCTGTGAGCAGTCAGATGCTGTAATATTAGGTTGGGTGCCATTCTGTAACATGAGGGCTGGCTTGTTGTGGTTTCTGTCCTACCCAGTTCCCACAGCCGGTAAGCCCCCAAAGAAAATCATGCGGGGAATCTACATTAGGTTATAAACTGATTGGCTCATTAGCTCAGTCTTCTTATTAGCTCTTGTAGCTTATATTAACCCATTATTTTTATCTATGTTAGCCACATGGCTTGGTACCTTTCTCAGAGAGGCAGGTCACATCCTGCTTCTTCAGTGATCTGGGCAGAACTGGGAAGAATGGGCTTTCTCCTTCCCAGCATTCTCCTGTTCTCATCGCCCCCACCTCTACTTACTGCCTGGCCAATCAGTGTTTATTTAAAAGATGATTGACAGAATACAGACAATTCTCCCACACCACTAGATGCTGGTGTTCATGTGTGCTCACTTAGACATCATGTATTAGGATCTCAATTAGACTTTCGTACTCTTTACATCTATATTAGTACCATGAATGGACAGAAAATACTAGACAGCTTAGAGAGTAGCTTCAGCCAAGGCAGCAGTAAATAGTCTAAACAACTGCTCTTTGTATTCTAGAGTACTGTCTGTTGTCAGTGAATCACCCACCTGTAGGAGGTTATCAAAAACATTCTAGTTCTGAAAAAATTCTCCAAATTAAAAAAAAAGAAGAAAGAAAAAGAAAGGAAGGAAGGAAGAAGAAAGGAAGAAAAACCAAAGGAAGGAAGGAAGGAGGGGTGGGAGGGAGGGAGGGAACAGTACATGATAAAACAGTAGACTTTCACCTGCACACACAGGGGTCCTTCCTAATCCCAGGCACAGCAAAGGGAGAAGCAAGTGTTCTCCTCAGAGGGTTAGATCAAAGTTCAGGGCATATAAATGAGTCTGTCCTTAGGGTGCATGTGCACAAAGGGTTGAGCTGCTCAGAGCTGGGATGTGGGCCCCTGCTCTAAGTCTTGACCCCTCTTTCCTCTTGAGAAAGTTCTGCATTGAGCGGCCCCAAAGGTCATCAGCATCATCAAGCCCACCACGAGAGCTGCTTTCTTCACTAGCACTGGGCTAGAGGATGTTTTGGCAGACTCCAGATGCACCACTTCTGTGGTTTGTTTCACATGGCCCACAGGGCTCAGTTCTTTTAAACCCTGTGTGTATTCATGTGACGTCTGTGTGTAGCGAGGGCCAAACAAAATGAATTATCTTGTGGTTATTACTGCACTAGGGAAATCCAATTTTACAAACAGAATAGAGCCATGCTTCCCTAATAATCAGTGCAGTCATTTTCCAGGTTCCCAGCAGAGTTCTACTCTATGGTGCAGGCCCCAGGAGGCTGTACATGCTGACCTTCTGACGAAGACAGACTGAGTGTGGGTCAGCTTTTGCTTTTCATGAAACAAGGACTTTTAACTTTCTCAAACTGAACATACAGCTTTTTTTCCCTTCCTTTGTACAAAGCTCATTTGAGACAGAGATCAAGCATGGATGCTAAGGTAACTTGATGTCTGCATGGTGCCCCAGTTGCCATAAGCACTAACTTAACAAATAAAATTCTTTGTCCAAAACTTTGTACTTTACGTCATGCTTTTGTGTACAGAGCCACATCTACTTCTAAATCCACACTATGAAGCCATTCTACTCATTTTTGGTGAAGAGAGACTCGTGCCAAAGAGACTCTGGGTCTTCCCTAGGAGAGACTCTGACTCTCAGGAGAGCAGCGTTGGCTCCTCCACGCCATCATCAGAAGAGTGATGTGTGCTATGGGCATAACCACAGAGGAAACATGAGATATCCCACGTCAGACAGCTTAAGAAGAAAATTTAAAACAACGTGTTTAAGACAACATCTCTTGTGGCTTAGATCTGCCAGTCGCCCTGACACAGCACACAGTCATCTGAGGGAGAGCCTCAGCTCCGCAGCTGCCTGGATCAGATCAACCTGTGGATGTCTGTGGAGGGCTGTCTTGTTAACTGATACAGTAGGGCCCAGTACACTGTGGGCAGCACCACCTAGACAAGCTGTTCTAAACTATACAAGTGAACGGGAAAATAAACCTGCAGCCAGTCGTCTAGAAATTCAAATGACTTCAACATATAATCAATAAAAAACTATCCCAATAGTCTTTTACATATCTCAGGAAGTGATGAGCTAAGTACTACATACACTCTTTCTTTACAGAGCTAGTGTGAGAACTAATCAAAGAATACTTTAGATTTAAATGCAAATAATGCAATCAACAGAACAAATCCAACCAATTAAGCATTTTAATCTAAAGATCCTCTGAAAAAGAATCCTTACTGATTATTAAAAATAATGAAGTTTCTCAGCTCATCTCTTGCATGATTTAACTTAGAAAACACTGGAGGTAGCTATGTCTTTTCTAAACTTAAAAAACACTGGCATCCATTTACACTGACCTGGAGTAGAGCCTTGAACTTCAAGGAGACAACCAGCCCCAGCTTCTGAAGTAAGAGTACTTAGAGCCCATGCACACTCCAGGAGAAGGAAAAATGTTGGGGGGATCTCTGTTCCCAACTAACCAGTGGTTTATAATTTGTGGGACCAAATCCACTTTATTCTTGGCAGAAACTACAAGCTCCAAACTCAGAACTTATTTTCTCTCCCTTGCAAAGGAGGACATGAAGGAAACTGGCAGTGGTCATACTGCAGAGTAGCTACTTCCTCAGGCACTGGGATGCTTTGAGCCAACAGACTCTGAAGACAGTGGCTGTGGCGACCTAGAGACTGCTCTAGTTCCTCCTGACAGGAGTGAGGCTTAAAAGGACCACCAGGACAGCCAGACTGAAGCCGGTGCAGAGGTCACCCTGGGCACCGGCTGCACAGTAAGCTGTGTGGCCAGCATGAGGAAAAGGCACCCACTGTTGTCCTGCGTAAGTCTCTGTCTCAGCAGCCACTCAGTCCCCATCAGACTGCCAGGCACCCCTCGAACAGGCATGAAAACACAAAAAACTATGAAAAGTATTCTCAATGGCACTTAAAATTCTAAATCCACCCAGAAAGAGGATGTTTCTAGAATGAACACTCTAGAAATAGATCATGAGTCTGTTTGCTGCCTGACCTATGTGGAGCTGCCTGCACTGGCTTCTGCCTCTCGCTTGGGTTTGTTTTAGCTTTGGGGACAGAACCATCATTCCTCTAGCTTGCATTTCTGAAAACTTCAAGTTGCTAAGCAATGCAGAATTAAGCACACTCCAGTTTTAAAAAGTAATGCAAACAAAAGTAGTGATATAGTAGTGGTCCAGGCCCACACAGACTCTACTGTTTTCACTCATTTTAAATGCCTGTGATCTGCAGTAAGCAAAACTGACTTTAAGAACGGACATTTTAAGATCATGACACAATTTCTAGAAACCAGTTGGAGTTAAAATGCAAAATGAGCATGATCCTTAAGAAAATAAACACATTCAAAAAAAGAAAATAAACACATTTCTCTTGTCTGTAACAAACATTAATGACTAACAATAAAATTAATTTAAACTTACTAGGGAAGTCAGTCCTTCATTGTCAACAATCCAATCTTCTTTTTCAGCTAATCTCTTTATTTCTACATGGAAAACAAGGACACAAATACTTTCTATGATACCTGTCTCAAAGAACTTCAACAGAGACAAAAACATCCATGGGTTGTGGCTTTTAACTATTTTACATACGTTTATGAAAAAAGAGATAAAATGCAATATTTACAGATTTGAGGATTTGTTATGTGTTTTTCACATTTTCTAACAAATGGTTCTTTTGTTTGTTTGTTTGTCTTTAGAAACAGTTTTCTGTGTAGCCCTGGCTGTCCTGGAACTCACTCTGTAGGCCAGGCTACCCTTCAACTCAGAGATCTGCTTGCTTCTGTCTCCCAAGTGATGGGATTAAAAGCATGTGCCACCACCATGCTAATGCAAATACTTTTTTGTTGTTGTTGTTGTTGTTTTGTTTTTAACAGCACAGCCTAATTTGGAGCTTTCCAGACTAGGAGCAAAGAAGCCTCACAACAGTGATTACTCTCTCAGTATTCATCACCAAGTGCTAGACATGTGCAAAATCAGCCCCCAGTGCAGTCTAGAGTCAGGGTGAATCCTCCTTCTCACTCCTGAGTGGTGGCTGGCTCCATCTTGAGGAATGGCACTTGTCCAAACCTTCAGCAGAGAGGCTTGCTTAGGTGAAGATGGAGGGGAATGTTTAGATTCTTAACTGGATTCCATTCTCTTCCCTGACACAATGTCCTATTAACTACCAATTGTATGTGTAGGGTCTTCCACACTTAAATAATAATGTGGCAAATAATAATGGCCTATTCTGTTTATAACAATGTTCTTATTTGTTTCTTTTTTAAAACACATCTAATATTTCAACAGTCACATTATAAAAATAACTTGGTGGCCTTTTGGTAGCTCTATATAGAAAATTCTGGAAAAGTTTCAAAGTATAAAGAAAAGCACGTATAATTTCTAGTATCCACAGAAACACTGCCAATCATGTTCTGATTTCATGCGAATTTTAAAGTTTACTTAGAAAACATCCACAAGTTTCTTAAACAGGGTCCATATTTTACATAAACTTTTCTATCCAGCAGTTTCTATTTAAAATTTGTTATTTTAAATAAATTCTTAGCTTCAAGTACATCCACCTTAGCTTCTGCAGTGTCTTAAATCTCAACTAAATTATTCTTAAAAGGTATTTTTTTAAAAGAAGAAAAATTCTACTCTACAGTTAGAAATGAATAAATACATACAAATTTCCCTAACACTAGTTTTCTCTTATTTTCAAGGCTTTGGAATCTTTCTAGGGTAACCTTGTCAAGTGAAAGCTACTAATTTTCCTAACATACCTTCTGCTGTATGCTGCAATGTCACCATTATACAACGTATACGGAGGTCCAAAATTAGGTCCTGGATAATTTGTAACATGTCATTGGGAATTTCCAGGGCAGTCAATGATTCATAAGTCAGCCTGGCAAACAAATGGAATACAACACAACAGAGTAAGTGGGACCCCAAGCAATCCCTGCCACTGCTTGGAACTATCCTGCAATTATGCCGAATAGAGCTTATGAGCAACAGTTCTAACAGCAGAAAGAGGAGAGCGCAGCAGGGACTGCAGAGGATTCCTGCAACAGATGGACGCACATATAGTATGACACTCTCATCTAGCACAGACACCAGGAATGCTTAAGAGCTGCTTCGTTAGGTTCTAAGTGAGAAATAGGCAAAGCAGCAGGACAGAGAGATAGAAAGTTAATTCTTTGTTGACATGTTAAGCAACACATTCTACTCTGGGATGTTGACTGTTCTCAAAAAGCACTAAAGCAAACAAATATATGTAAACCCACCAAGCCCTTTCAATGAACATGGCTCCCCTGGGTCCACACTTACCTTATGGTCTGGATAACATGTGCGAGCCACTGCCCTGAGAGCTCTGCCTGCACCTCCCAGCCTCCATACTGCCTTCCATCACCTTCTCTGAGACTGAGTGGGAGCAGGGCTCCCCGGATCAGTTTCACCAGGGATTGCATAACTTCCTGAATCATTTTCTAGAAAGAGCAAAAGCAAAACTGCATTATGATCATCAGTCTGGGAAAGCTTGTGCTGAATGATCAAATGCATCTTGCCTATAAAGTTTTCCACAGTGTTGGGGAGAAAACCCAGTGCCCTGAAGAGTTGACACTCTCATCCCTTGCTTACCTTGAAGTCATTTTGTCTCTGCCTTACATTCTTGGATCTTTCAATCTGGCCTGACTTTTCAGCAGTCTGAGAAATTGGAAAACAAAAAAGTATTAGTTCTCTTTTAGAAATAACCTAGGAAAGTTAAGAAATGCTTTAACATCTATACATGAAGACATGAAACTAAACCTGATTAAATGAAATGCTAAGACATAACCAGAAAAACCTTTCTTACTCCAAAAGAAGCTAGCCTGCCTCTTTCTAAGTTCTGGTATGAATCTATGTACAAACCCAATAAACAAGTTGAAATTACAAATTTTGTAGTTGCACTGAGTGTGCCATTTTAATCAGCAATCAATACAGCTAAACCCCTGTGTATTATGCCTAGCTGGTGTTCTTCCCATCGTGTCTCAGGAACCAAGGAAGAGTAAACTTTGAATCAGTGAAGTGATCCCCAGGACATCTGCTCCATGTCTTCCATAAATATTTATTATAAACACAAGTACTACATCTGCTACTTTACTTTTATTTATAAATCGTTGTCTTCTCTACACTGTACCTTAGAGAATACATCCTACTATTCTAGAATCATTTATTTCTGTTTACTCATAAAGCCTATGTTTTTCTTTACGTGATGTGTGGAAAACTGCTTTCATAGTTAAGAGAAATCTGTTCAACTGGAATTCTTCTAGTTTTTTATTAATAAATGTCTGACAACCAAATATTACTACATAAAATACCCTAAAAGGATAAGCTTATGATCTTTCCAGATAAAGAAGCAATAACAAAATTAAACACTGCAAAATCAAACTCTGATACTTCATTAACACAATACAAAACTGTTAAGTTTGAAAATTTAGGGACTAGCCAGGCGATGATGGTGCACACCTTTAATTCCAGCACTTGGGAGGCAGAGGCAGGTGGATCTCTGTGAGTTCGAGGCCAGCCTGGTCTACAAGAGCTAGTTCCAGGATAGGCTCCAAACTACAAAGACACCCTGTCACAAAAAAAAAAATAAGTAAATAAATATGAAAATCCAGGTACTGTTGGTTAAGGTTAAAGATACATCAAAAGACTCTTTAAGCTAAACATAGGCACATCATAAATAATTGCAGTACTACCTTGAAGCTAATGTGGGAATATAAATTAATACTTTATCTAAGCATACATACAACACACATGCTAGAGACACAGCGTGTGGAGCTGAGTTCTACATGAACATCATTGACAAAAATGGGTGAAAAGGGTAGAGTGTTCTAAGAACCAGCCCTCGATATATGCACAGCACATACCCTTTAACTCACATGTGTCTTAAAACTTCATGTAAGCTGAAGCTTTTATCATTTTTCCTTTGTAAAAATACACTTTTTGCTTTCAAACTTAAAAATGCAAACTGCAGGTTTACCTATTAATCACAGAAAAAGCTAACTCCTGAGTGCACTGCCTTATGCCACTCCAAACGTTTTGCTAAACAAGATGGATTATATCTTTATTTTCAATACAAATGAGAAATACCCAAAGCACAGCAAGAAGGGACGTGCCAGGATTAGGTGTTCGTAATAAGCAAGCTCTGGGTCAGCCTGAGTGTTGCAAGGGGCAGACCATGTGCACACGTGAGATGCTGCTGCAGCCAGGAAGGTAGCACACAAAAAACGCTTCTCTTCTACCCCGCCAGACCACAGGGCTCTAATGACCTCACTTCTGCTCTGTCCAGCTCACTGATACACAGCAGCCTTCCCAATGCTGCTACTTGTCAGATCTCAGTTGGAACACATTTTTCTCTTCTATCTTCTCTCACTAATTTTGCCTATAGCTTCAGATACTATCTCCCATATGGGTACCTGCAGTCCAAACCCTCTGAGACTCACAGATCTCAATTACCTATTATCTCTTGAATAATTCACAGGAACCTCACATGCAGCACAATATGGAAACCTGCCAGGTTTCCTCCAAGATATTTTGTGAATGGCACCTGCTTAGTGAGAAACCTGCTTCATTGCTGTCTCTGCATGCTTGCCTTCATCTCTCCCCACGGGCCACCAGCAAGACCTGCACACCTCTGAATGCAAACTGCACCACTACTTTCTCTCCACCTCACTGACAACACCTCTCCCATCCCTACTCCTGCACACACAGTCCTTGGGCTTCTTCCCATGATTCCCTCCAAAAGGCAGCTGGGCCACTGACATGGAAGCCTGCTAGGACCTGTGCATGCCAGGGCTCGCCTTGGAGCCTCCCCTAGGTGATACATGTGCTGTGCGAGCTCCTTTGTCTACTTCTTGTATGCTAAGGTTCAGTTGGGAGATCATGGCTTTGAGTTCGTCTGCATCCCACGACTGATCATCTTCACTAGAAGTCTGGCTTTGTCCTTTTGATAGATATTCACAGAATTAAGATGAGTTTTCTAAAAATTAACTTTTAATCGGCTTATTCAAGATGGGAAGTCATTGTTTTATTTACACAGTATCTTTAGCATTTTAGAATGGACTTATGCATGCATGCTACATGTATGCACATGTGTGTGTATACATATATGTATGTGTGTATGTAGACAGACAGACAGACAGACAGATAGATAGAGAGCGCCTGTAAATAAAAGTGTGGCATACTGTGGTTAAGATCCTGTTCTGAGGGCTGGAGAGATGGCTCAGAGGTTAAGAGCATTGCCTGCTCTTCCAAAGGTACTGAGTTCAATTCCCAGCAACCACATGGTGGCTCACAACCATCTGTAATGGGGTCTGGTGCCCTCTTCTGGCCTGCAGGCATACACACAGACAGAATATTGTATACATAATAAATAAAATAAATATTTAAAAAAAGATCCTGTTCTGAACATGCTTTCAAAAGCATTCCTACCTTTAATCTGTGCTGATCTAAATGCTTTCCAAAATCATCGAGGTATCAAGTCTCATGACAGACTAGCCAGCCACCAGAATATAGCATACTACACTTACTGTACTTACTACACCATGCTATGCTACACCACACAACACTGCACACACTACACTGCACCACACCACACTGCGCCACACTACACTACACTGCACCACACTACATTACACCACACTATACTACACTATACACACTGCACACACTATACACACTACACTGCACCACACTACATTACACTACACTATATTACACACACTACACTACATTACACCACACTATACTACACTACACTATACTGCACACACTACACCACACTACACCACACTATGTTACACTATACTATACTACACTACACACTGCACACATTATACTACACTGCACCACACTATACTACACTATACTACACTACACACACTGCACACACTATACTACACCGCATCACACAATATTACACTACACTATACTACACTACACACACTGCACACACCATACTACACTGCACCACACAATATTACACTATACTATACTACACACGCTGCACACACTACACCACATACTATATCACACACGCTGTACACTATACTACACTATGGCTCCTGAAAAGCCTGGTGGACTCGGGTCTTTCCCAGAGACCTAACTGTCAACAAAATGGAGAGCAAAGAGCTGGGAGTTCTGTGTGTTGGCAACTGTTTTTGACTGTTTTAATATAGAACTGAGCAATCCCGGTATAGAAGACAGGTTCATAATGTCTGCCCTTTTTTAAAGCAAATCTAACTTTTCAGATTTTAGTAAAGTTTATTTTTGCAAGGACATGAAAGATGTTAACTTCTAATGTATAGCAATTATTTGGTGCTTTAAAATAGACTACATTGAAGCACACCCACAGTGAGATAGTGTTGGTACCCATTTCGATAACTAAAGCCTCAATTCTTTCCTGCACACACAGACCAAAACCAGTTTGTGGTGAGCCCAACGGCAGATTTCACTGTTCTGATTCACATGGGCCCAAATACTTAAAGAAGTGACTATTGTTTAAACTGCTAGAAACTTCTAACGAATGGCCTCTTAATAAATCCAGTAGTTCTACAATAAGAGAAATAGGACACTGACATGAGTGTGTTTAAAGTTCTCCGACATCAATTATCTAAAGTGCCAACCCTCCTCCCAGTGTCCACTTAACCACATTTCTGGGTTCACCTTCCAGCTCTTCTACTCCTTGCTACTTTCCTGGGGTGGCTTCCAAGCTTCTTAATAGAGAAGAAATGCTCTAAAAAGGTACTGAGTTTCTGAAGAGAATCATGCTTGCTACTGCAAATTAAAAAAAAAAAAGAGCTATGAATGTAAATAGATAGAAACATCACAGGCATTGCCAATTCAGCAGACTAATTAAAATACATTTATTTTCATTTCAACAGTATGTTGTCATAAAATCTGAAGGTCACAGGTTTCATCTACAACCAAATGCTCACATATTTACTCTAGGTAGGACCTATATGGAAGTGTGTCCTCTTTTAACCGATATAGCAAAAGATCAAAACCATTTGCCAACTTTATGACTCTTGAAAGACAGAAACTAACTACTCTGCATGTGAGATGTGCCACCTACAAGAAATGATGCAGCTGGGAGGTGGTGGTGCATGCCTTTAATTGCAGCACTCAGGAAGCAAAGGCAGGCAAATATCTTCATTCAGGGTTAGCCTGGTCTAAAGGTTAAATTCCAGGATAGCCAGGACTACAGAGAAACTCTATCTTGAAACAAAACAAAACAAAACAAAACAAAAAGAAATGATCTGAATTACTGGAATAAAACACTTGGCTGGAATAAAATCCATTTTCTAGGGGACTTGTTTTTCACATGCATTAATCTACCTTGACATTCTTTTGTGCTACTGTAGAAGTTCATCAGTCTGCTACTTCCCACCGCTACTAAATCTTGTTCACACGTATGTGCCAGGCCAATGTCATTTCAAATACTGGAATAATTTTGATGGGGGACATGACACTAGGAACCAGACTCTGGGCCTACTACCTTTTAGACAAGACTCAATCACCAGGCTGCATTCGCCAACACTTAGGAACACAGCTTTCCACAGAGTATCTATGCACTGTTTCTCCTCAAGATCTGTACTGGAAGAAATGATAATGCCATTCTTCACCAGAAATAAGCTTCACACCCTCCCAAATGGGGACAGATG